AAGATATTCTGCACGAATACCACAACGCCTCAACTGCAGGACACACTGGTATTGAACGCACAATAGGACGAATCAGCCAAAGGTACTATTGGACAAGCATGCGACGCGACGTGACGGCTCACTTAAAGGATTGCGTGGAGTGCCAGCGGTACAAAGCCACGAATCAGAAGCCGGCGGGATTGATACAGACACCGCCGCTACAACAAAGGTTTGAAGTCATCGCCATAGACCTATTTGGACCTCTACCAGCGTCGGAAGAAGACCTGAAATGGATATTCATCGTCGAAGACCCAACGACCAGATGGGTGGAGCTCTTCGCACTGAAAAATGCAACAGCTCAAGAATGTGCGAAAACACTAGTGGATGAAGTTTTCTTGCGGTTCGGGTTCCCAAGAAGGCTTATCAGTGACAACGGATCTCAGTTTGTGAGTGCAGTCATGCAGCACACGACGCACTGCCTAGGGATCAAACAGCACCTTATTCCGGTGTACCACCCACAAGTCAATCCAGTGGAGAGACGCAACCGCGATCTAAAACCTCAACTAGCCATCTTAGTGGGTGAGAAACACACGACTTGGCCAGGGAAGTTACCTGCGATAAGATTCGCGATGAACTCAGCCATATGCAAGAGTACGGGGTATACCCCGGCATACTTAAATCTGGCGCGCGAACTTCGAACAACAGACGATGTCTACAGAGATCTCAGGGCGATCATCGAGAAAGAAAACCCCATACCAGACATCACACCGTATCTACTTAAGATGGCTGACACTTTCAAACAGGTACGAGAGACCCAAGAAAAGCAGCAAGATATGAGAAAGAAATATGCGGACAAAGAACGGCGGTCTGGTCAAGCATACAGTCCAGGAGACAGAGTATGGGTAGCCACGCATACACTGAGCAACGCGAAGAGAGGTTTCACGTCAAAACTCGCTCCACGACGCGACGGACCGTATATCATATTACAACAGAGAGGACCTACCAGCTATGAAGTAGGACGCTCTGATAATACAGACGAAATCATAGGCACATTCCACACATCTGCCTATCACCTTTCTTAGGTAATGAAAACATCATACCTGTGATTCCGATAAGAAAGCGCGGTCGACCCAAGAAGAGGACTACGACCCAATAGAATGTTTTATGTATGGACTCTCCGCCGGGACGACTGTAGGTCCATAGGGGGAGTCTGTAACATTCTATATTTAATTAATATTAGTCATGTAACAATTATTATTTTAACAAACATTTCGTAATATATTTACAAACATTCGAAATGTATTTACAAAATATTCGTAATCTATTTACAAAATTCGCTGTACGTAAATATTTTGTCAACAACGCACGAGAATACGCGTGACGTCACCAAAGAGAAAGTTTACACATACCACTATGAGCATAGGGTCCTACGCGGAAGCAAGATGCAGCATACACACTAGCGCAGGTAACAAGGATAGAAGATTCTACTACGACTACGCACGATCCCGTTAGACCTCAGGCGTAAAGACAGAAAGGGACGAAGAACTTGTGCAAACCGTGTCATCTGTGTAAGCAAGCGATAAGATGCCTTAATCCATGAGCAAAGCTAAGTTAAAGAAAGATAAAAGATTAAGACGATGATACATGCAACTTTGCCCTGTGACTCAAGCGAGGGTGTGAGAAAGATAATCATATGTACACATTCTACGTCACCGAAGGAGAAATTTGTCTTAGCCAATTATCGATGACCTCAAGCGAGATGAGTTCATCATAGACCAATGACCGTCTCATCCCCCGAAGATTTTGGCGAGATGAACCGACGACGACCTCCGAAAGGATACGAAGGAACCACCACCCTCGCCAAGAAATCAACCCCACTACAGGAGTAGGAGAAGCTCAATTAGTATATAAGGTCATAGAAAATTAAGAAATTTGTCAAAAGTGTTTAGTCGCGTTTGCCCTAATACCTTAAGGAACTTGTTCTGACTGCATCAGCAAACTTAACAAGTTGGCTTAAGATATTAGAATTATTTTGTTAAGATTAACAAAAACGGTTGAAAAGTTATTAAGTGTAGATACATTTAATACTTTTCTAGTGATTTTGAATGCAGAAGCATTTAAATAATTTTGGACTTAGTGATTTTGAATGCAGAAGCATTTAAATAATTTCGGACTTAGTTGAATGCAGAAGCATTTAATAATTTTTTGAACTTTGTGAATTAAATGCGGAGGCATTTAAGTCGAAAGCTGTGTAAACTCTTAGTGTAATAAAGTAACTCTGACTTTGTTAATTTTACTCTTTGTGTACGTGTAGCATAACTGACTTAGTGACTATATATATTTATATCTGTTCTTTCCGTATTCTGTACCTACATACCCGAAAATAAAGTGACGGTAGTGTTGAAACTGTGTTCATTCATTGATTCTAACCCTACCCCATTACAATATATATATATAAAGTTAAAATATTATTCAGTTTGCCAAAATAGTTCCAAACTGATATTTTCTCTCGTTTCGAAATTGTTACGAATACATCTTCAGAGTAAAAGAATTTATGTATGTATATATATATATATATATATATATATATAAAACATAAATACTTAAATAAATAAATATATAAATTAAATATATATATATATATATATATATATATATATATTGTAAAAATTTGGAAAGGAAAATGCATGAAAAAAAAATGAAACTAGTATGGTGTCTGGCATCGAGCCTTAAGGCAAATTGCTGCAACTTCCCGTACTGAAAATTAAAATTTTCAGAAGAGCCTTTAAAATTTTTTGAAAGCTTTGAAAAAATGAGATTTTTGAGAATTTTGAAATTTTTGGGAAAAAAAATTTTTTGAAAAATTTGGATTTTTTTTTATTTTGAATTTTTTACTTTGATTTTTTTATACTTTGAATTTTTCTGAAAATTTTGATGTTTTTTTCAAAGCAAATATGCCGCTTGGCTGTTTAAGAAAATAAATATCAAAGCGCGTAAGCGCTGCATCGCAACGGATTAACATTGGGACGCAAATGTAAACAAAATTCATACCTATTATTAAAATCTATATACAATATCTCACAATTTGAGGTGCATATGTCTAATTATCATTTTTGACCGCCCAATGGCATTTTTTTTACTTTTTTTACTCGATCTCCGAAAACGGTAGACCTGCCTTCCCAAAAATTTAATCAGTTCTTCACTCTGTCAATACAAGTAAAATGTTTTTTTGACTTATTAAAATCGGGCGATCCGTTCTCTTACAAACTCAGTTACCGTTTTTTTGCACTTTTTGCCCTTTAACTTCGGAACGGCTAAACCTGCCTTCGCCAAAAACTAATCAGCACGTCTCCTTATCAATAGGAATTGAATGTTTTTTGAATCATTAAAATCAGTTGAACGGTCTTCCAGAAATCGTCGATGAATGTTTGTATCCGAACACACACACACATAGATACATGCATTTTGTCTAAGGTATGCCAAAATGTTCAGAAACTTTTGAAACTTTTAAAACGATATTTAAAAATTTTTTTTAGATTTTTATTGCTACTACTATAACTTATTCTACTGGAAGTTAACAAAAAAAATTTTACAAAATTAGTTTTTATTTTTTATCTTTAAATCCTCAGCATTTTTTTATTTTTTACTAATTATGTAAAATAGCTTTCAGTATCTGGCCTTTAATTTTTTTAAATCTGTAAAACAGCTTTTAGCAAAATGTAGATGGAATAGCAAATCATGGCTCACACACACATAATTTTTCCAATTTCGGAACAAATGCAAAATGATTCAACAGATTTCGAATGACATGAAACGTCGACAAAACATAAAATTAGCTAATCGAATTTCCTGGCGAAAATATAAACTCCGCATCATGAAGTTCAAAAAAAAGCTTGAAACGACTACAAAATCGTTTACAACTACAAATAATTATTTTAATGAAAATACTAGTAATAAATAGTTATGTATGATTATATATCTGTTTTTCACCAAGGCAGGTCCATGCATCGAGCTAAACTCTAACAACACATATTTCCATCAATGACATTTTACATCGCAAATCCTACTGGAAAAATTCTTTTTATTCAAAGGTTCGAATAAATGGAAACGTGTATCACTGCTGCATGATGTCATTTTACTAGGAGCGCAGGATCCAAACGAGTACCTAGTTACTGCACAAAATAATTATATATATATATATATATATATATATATATATATCCATTATAATAAAATCAATGAGTCCGAATAGATTTATACCCATTGGGGAAAATAGAGTTGCTCTTTCGCCTTTTGCAACCCACTCACCACCCATCCGTTGGAATAATCGATTTTAAAATATTTTTAACTACGGAAACATTCCAATTATAACTCTGCGATGGACAATATTCATTTCCTAGCCTAAAAAGCTGGCGGTAAGTGATTTATCAAATTTAGTATTTGTGAAAAATATATTTTGTTTATTTTTGAATTGTTTTTTTCAATTTAGATTTTTTTTCCAAAAACAATTATTACCTCAACACAAGCAAAAAGTTTTTTGAATCATGCGAATCCGATGCTTACTTGTCTCAAAAACTGCTTTTTTGCACATTTAGCCCCGTATATTCGAAACGGCGGGACCTGCCTTAGCCAAAAATACCACAAAAAGGGAAGTTAAAAATGATCAGTATTAATTTTATGAAAATCCATCAATTGTTGTACTTAAATGTATTTTTTAACTTTATACCTTTTCTACATATATTTTTAAATATCCAGTGAAGACATACTTAGTTTCAGAACAAGAACACCTTGGCCACCACTGATAATTTTATTCTTTTATCGCCGCATGTTGGCCAGCACCGGCTTGATTACTTTTATCAATCGACAATTTGCAACTGATATGATAACGATAAATTTATTAGATATATAATTGAATGTGTACTTGTGCAAAGTCAAATTGAGAAGAATAAATTGTGAGAAGTCTAGGGATAAATAAATAATATAAATGGTTAGAATGTAAATGAAAAAGTTTCTTATCTACAATGGCAAGTAATCTGCCAAAGACTACTGCAGATGTGCAACAAGAAGATATCTTTCAGGCCATCAGGAATAATGATTTGCCAAAAGTCCAAAGTCTACTCAATTTCTGCAGTATTCATTCATCAAATATTGTGGATAAAACCAATAAAAACAATACACCTCTGCATTGTGCCGTAGAAGAGAACAGGTATGAAATAGTCCAGGAACTATTATTGGAAAAGTGGAAAATAAATATAAACGCGCAAAATGATGATGGTGATACTGCCCTGCACGTAGGCGCCAAGAAGAACTCCGATCGACTGATACATTTGCTCCTCAAAAACGGAGCAATTAGCGATGCCGTCAACAAGGATGGTAAAACATTTCTGGATGTGATCAGGATATTGGTGATTCAAACAGGAAAGTGCAAAAGCAACAACCAAGTTAAGAAGAGCGTAGCTATATCTAGTCAACCGGGACCATCTCGAATAGTTACAGGTAAAAAATATTGTTTTCTATTTTAAGTTTAATAAGAAAAAGTATAACCCTGTTCTGAATTTTTGCCTTGATGATAACCTACTACGCATTTAATAAATTTTGTTCATAGGTCAAAGTGAGGAGCAAAAAATAAAAATAACTGAGAAAAAGGCTACAAATTCTGCAGTCGATAAAAATAAACAAATAGTATCTCCACCTTTTTTGGACAGAAATGCTAAAATAAACAATATTACCAATAAAAACTGGTCCCTCCTGCACGTTGCGGCACACAATGGAGAATTAGCAAGGATTAAACACTTGATAAACCTTGGAGCCAAAATAGATGCCGAAAGTGATGACAAGTTGACGCCACTTCATTTTGCCGCTATGAATGGATTTATAGATGTGGTTCAACTATTGATCGACAAAGAAGCAAATATTGAAGCTATCGACGATAAACGACGGACGCCATTATATGTTGCATCTGAAAATGGTCATTTGGAGGTAGTGCAGTTTCTGATTAGAAAAGGCACCAATGTCAATGCTGCTAATAAACAAAATTCGACTTCATTGCACATCGCATCTCAAAATGGTCATTTGGAGGTAGTGCAGTTTCTTATTAGTAAAGGCGCCAATGTCAATGCTGCTAATAACACAAATTGGACTCCATTGCACATCGCATCCCACAGAGGTCATTTGGAGTTAGTGCAGTTTCTGATTAGTAAAGGCGCAAATGTCAATGCTGTTGAAAAAGTAAATTGGACTCCATTGCACATCGCATCCTACAAATGTCATTTGGAGGTAGTACAGTTTCTAATTAGTAAAGGCGCCAATGTCAATGCCGTTAATAACACAAATTGGACTCCATTGCACATCGCATCTGGAAATGGTCATTTGGAGGTAGCGCAGTTTCTTATTAATAAAGGTGCCAATGTCAATGCTGGTAATAATGAAAATTATACTCCATTGCACATCGCATCTCAAAATGGCCACTTGGAAATAGTCCAGTTTCTTATTAGTAAAGGCGCCAATGTCAATGCTGTTAATAATGATAATTGTACTGCATTGTATGTTGCATCTCGAAATGGTCATTTGGAGGTAGTGCAGTTTCTGATTAGTAAAGGCTCCAATGCCCATACCGTTGATAACAAAAATTGGACTCCATTGCACATCGCATCTCAAAATGGTCACTTGGAGGTAGTGCAGTTTTTGGTTAATAAAGGCGCAAATGTCAATGCTGTTGAAAAAGTAAATTGGACTTCATTGCACATCGCATCCCACAAAGGTCATTTGGAGTTAGTGCAGTTTCTGATCAGTAAAGGCGCCAATGTCAATGCTGTTAATAATGAAAATTGTACTGCATTGTATGTTGCATCTCAAAATGGTCACTTGGAGGTAGTGCAGTTTCTGATTAGTAAAGGCGGAAATGTCAATGCTGTTGCAAAATCAAATTGGACTCCATTGCACATCGCATCTCTTTATGGTCACTTGGAGATAGTGCAGTTTCTGATTAGTGAAGGCGCCAATGTCAATGCTGCTAATAACATAAATTGGACTCCATTGCACATCGCATCCCACAAATGTCATTTGGAGATAGTGCAGTTTCTGATTAGTAAAGGCGCCAATATCAATGCCGGTAGTAAAACAAATTGGACTCCATTGCACATCGCATCTGAAAAAGGTCGTTTGGAGGTAGTGCAGTTTCTGATTAGTAAAGGCGCCAATGTAAATGCCGCTGATTACATAAATTCGACTCCATTGCACATAGCATCTCAAAAAGGTCACTTGGAGGTAGTGCAGTTTCTTATTAGTAAAGGCGCCAATGTCAATGCTGCTAATAACACAAATTGGACCCCATTGCACACTGCATCTCGAAATGGTCACTTGGAGGTAGTGCAGTTTCTGATTAGTAAAGGCGCCAAAGTAAATATATGCAATATTTTGAAATGGACCCCACTGCACTGGGCAACCTATAATGGCCACAAAAATGTCGTCCAAATATTAATAAATAAAGGCGCAAATCCTGATATAGCAGATATCGATAACAAGACGCCGATGGACATTGCTGTTAAAAAAGAATATAAAGAAATTGTTGAACTACTGCAAATTAAAACAACCAACTAATATTTAGAAATAAAGTTTTTTTATGTATTGTATCTAAAATATATTCTAAAATAAAATAATTTAACAAAACATTTTACCTTGTATTTGTATAATTACTAAATGTCTGCAGATACGTTTCAGCCTAAATTTGTTTTGTATCTGCACTGTTTGCAGGGACAGAATATTTATATTTTTATAATCGTTTATGTAAAAATACATTCAGTTAATTAACACTTGAATTAGGGATAAGTTTCTTTATAAATAATAGCATTCAATCGAATTCAGAGTGATCTAGATGGTAAACAAATAGACTTCTCAACATTTAAGCCAATATTATTGCAGTTATTCTCTAGTATACAATTCTTTTGCAAACAATTGCAAAAACTACAACAGAAATACATTTTTATAAATGGAATCAGTTTTTCACGATTCATTTTATTACACAATTGACATAAATAAACTAGTGGTATATGGCATCGTGCCTTAAGGCAAATTGCTGGAACTTTCTGTACCGTAATGAAATATGCGAGAAATATTAAGTGCTTTGAAATAGATTATTATAAATGTTGTAACTTTCATTATTGGTATTTTTAGACAAAATAATATACTATCTCGCAAAAGACGATTTTTTGAGAAATCGTCTTAACGGGGTTTCGCAGTGTACTATATATACATATATATATATATATATATATATATATATATATATATATATAATATATATACATGTGCTCTTACTCATGAATCCTACAATTGTTCAATCAACAGATTGGAAATTCAACAATTACATATCAACAGTTGACATCATATATGCATATATGTATTTATATATATTTATATATATATATATATATATATATATGTAATATATAAATGTGTATATATTTATAAAACGTAGGGGTTGTTTCCCCATTTCTGATATCAACAGATGTTCAGAAACATTAAAGTACAGCTAAATACGATTAAAACTTGTTCTATATATATATATATATATATATATATATATATAACTTGAAACGTTGAACTTTATTTAAAAGGGTAGCTGTGTTTAAACAGTCCCTTTTCCTTTAATTTTTATTAAAAGGATTTCTTTTCGGTTCTAATAAACTTTTTCATCAAAACCTCAGGCCTGTAATATTTTATCGCCCTTATTTTAGTCAGTTTATATCAGCACATTTCAGTTAATGAATTAATCAATGTTAAATGTTAGGAAAAAAATCTACTAACTAGATAATACATAGGTCTAGGTTCAAACACTCCGATAATGAGTAGAATACACTATTTTTGAACGCGATTTTTAAGTATACCGAGTTGCTGTACAACGTTATGATATTAGAACAAATTGTGGATAACTTAATGAGGCTAAAGTTCTCGAAACACATATT